AAAGGAAGATCACTTTGATGTTTAGCGGCATTTCTTTAGCATTTAGGGGCATTGCTCTGATGTAAAGGGGCATCACTTTGGCATATAAAAGGGGTATCACTCTGATGTATAGGAGCATCACCCATGTATAGGGAGCATCACCCATGTATAGGGGGCATCACTCGTGTAAATGGGGGCATCAACCTATTGTATAGAGGTCATCACTCTGGTGTTGAGAGGTCTTCACTCTGGCATATAAGGACATCACTCTAGTATTTAGGGGGCATCGCTCTGATGTTCAGGAGGCATCACTGTGATGTATAGGGGCATTCCTCTAGCATTTGGGGGCATCACTCTGGTGTTCAGGAGGAATCACTCCGATGTACAGGAGAATCACTTTAGCATTTGATTGCATCACTCTGAGATTTTGGGGCATCACTCTGATGGCATCACACTGATATTTAGAGGGCATCACTCTGATGGCATCATTCTGATGGCATCACTCTGATATTTAGAGGTCATCACTCTGATATGTTGGGGATGGCATCACTCTGATGGCATCACTCTGATATTTAGGGGACATCACTTTGATATTTTCACTCTAATATTTAGGGGGCATCACTGTGATATTTTGAGGGCATCACTCTGATATTTAGTGGCATCACTCTGATATTTAGGAGGCATCACTCTGATATTTAGGTACATCACTTTCATTGTTTCAGTCTGATATTTAGGGCGCATCACTCTGATATTTTGGGGCATCACTCTGATGGCATCACACTGATATTTAGAGGGCATCACTCTGATGGCATCATTCTGATGGCATCACTCTGATATTTAGAGCTCATCACTCTGATATGTTGGGGCATCACTCTGATGGCATCACTCTGATATTTAGGGGACACCACTCTGATATTTAGGTGCATCACTTTGATTGTTTCACTCTAATATTTAGTAGGCATCACTGTGATATTTTGAGGGCATCACTCTGATATTTAGTGGCATCACTCTGATATTTAGGTGGCATCACTCTGACATTTTGGTACATCACTTTCATTGTCTCACTCTGATATTTAGGGCGCATCACGCTGATATTTTGGGACATTATGCTGATGGCATCACTCTGTTATTTAGGGGCATCACTCTGATATTTAGGGGGCATCACTCTGATATTTAGTGGCATCACTCTGACATTTTGTGGCATCACTCTGATATTTAGTAGCATCACTTTGATTGTTTCACTCTGATATGTAGGGGATATCACTCAGATGGCATCACTCTGATATTTATGGGACATTACTCTCATGATATAATAATAAAATAAAATATATATATTATATAATATAATATAAAATATATATAATATATAAGATGCATCAACTTGATATTTAGAGGGCATCATTCTGATATTTTAGGGCAGCTCTGATGTATAGAGTGAATGTCACTCTAGCATGAAAGGGCATAACTCTGCTATTTAGGGGGGATAACACTCGCTTAGAAAGGGTATCACTCTGATGTAAAACAGGCATCACACTAGCATTTAGGGGTTATAACTGATGTACATGGGGCATCACTCAAATGTATGAAGGCACCACTCTGATGTATACGGGCATCACTCTGATATCTAAGGGAATAACTCTGAAGTATAGGAGAATCACTCTTAGGAGCATCACTTCGGTATTTAGGGGCATCACTAATTTATAGGGGACAGTACTTTAGCATATAAGGGGCATAACTCTAATGTTTCGAGGCATCACTCTTTTGTATAAGCATCATCACTCCTGCATATAAGGGCATCACCTATGTCCAAGGAAATAAAGAATTTGATTTGAATTAATGTTGTTGAAATTGTTGAAGACATTGTTAAAATAAACTTATGATTCCTATTATTGTTATTATGACAAGGTAATCCCTTGCTTCAATGCAATAAATTAATCCCACTCCCTCCTCAAATATCATTGGTTGCAAACTAAAGATTGACATGTCCACAGCTCATCTCATTGGTTTACATATTAAAGAAGTCTGGCTACATGCATAATACATAAGACACGTGCCTACAAGTGATAGATGATATTCAATCACTACTTGATAATCTTCCTCTGATTATCTTAAATAGGTAATCTCCCTTCTTAAGACACGTTTAATGATAAGTAATCATGATTGAGAGTAAACCAGGTTTACTTGCATAGGCCCGATTCGACTCCGATCGAACTGACCCATAGCCAAACACACAGGGCTTGCAGCCAGGGCATTTTAGACTCATATGCAATACATACGTCTGCATGAAGTCCCCACAAACCGAAATGCCAATCTTAAGTTTGCAACCAATGACATTTGAGGGGGGAGGGAAGATTAACTTATTGCATTGAAGCAAAGCATTACTTTGTCATGATAACATCAATAGGAATCTTAATTTTATGTTCACTATTTCAACAATCAAATTCTTTATTTCACAATATTTCTTTAAATCAGTCTTTATTTAGACATTTCTGTCTATCAATAACTCTTTTCAAATGCACACTGCCGGCCTGAAAGATTAACGATATGCACGGATGGCTGGGTTTATTTTGCCTATAAACTGCACAGTGCAATTGAATAGTGCGGTATGAATAAAAAAAGGCTGGCTTGGTATAATTAGTCTCTAGTGTTTATTATTGAACTTGTCTGAGTTAGGGTTACCTTTTAATCAGTAAACCTACAGTGGGCTTCTTTTAGACGTCTTTTCATTCATACCGCACTATTCAATGCCATAAAGATATACAAGCTGAGGCAAACAATGTATTTCCGTTAATCAAATTACTAAGAATCCTTTATAAGGCCGTTTGCAACGCTCATCGTCATCATATCATCGATGATTCTCCAGCGTACGGAACTAAGGTAATATTTTCTTCTAGTCTTGGCTTTCGTCTCACTTTCTATACTTTGCATACAATTAAATATTGTTTAAACTGGAAGCATTCTATCTGATACAATTGCATAATCGGTCGCGCCAGAGGATTTCCAATAGTAATACTCAATTAGGCAACTTCAAGTCTGGGGCTGGATTAGCTGGAATATACACTTCAATGCCAATTCTGTGTATTGCTATTAACACGTGTCATAGTGTAGCTGCCTTCATATACCCCTGTCTTTACTTTGTAAATCATTAACTTCACTGTGTGTTACTTGGAAACAACGGAATACATTATTGAGGTATTATTATTTTATTTTCTTGGCTTTCGTTTCTCTGTGTTCATCTCTCTTGGCACATCGTTCTTAGCAGTTTCATTCAGTTTGCATCTTTCTTGGCAACTGCATTCATCTTTCATCTTCTCTTAGCAGTCTTCGCTTTCTTTGCAATGGCATATGTTCTCATTAAAAACCCCGGTACCAAACAGTGCAAATTGTGTCCACACCCGACGTTCCTAGTCGAATTGACTAAGCACTTAGTGTTTGGCGTGCATGGCAAGGACTTAGCAGAGGCCAAGGAGTTGAACAAGCAGGAAACGCCTAATCAGAATGCCGTGGTCCGTATCGTCTAGTCCAGACATGTTCTGCAGCATGCATTCCCATCCTTTGGGGAAGATGCTGTCTTCACTGGCAAGGACGTGGAAAAAATTCTACATATGTACGGCCATGAGGTTGTGATGGACCAACCCTGGCCACGCCAAACCGGGACAGCAGCCCCCCTCAGTGCAGTGTTCCGATCCGCCCCATTACACATGCCTGAAATGCTACCCTCGGCTCATTCTGCCGTAGAGTCTCGACCCTCTACCAGCCCAGGTGTAGATGCCCCCCTCCCGGTTCACGCATTTTTACATTCCATAGATGTCCCTGGTGTTTCAGCCCCCCAGGAAAGCTTCACTTCTGGCAATGTCAATCCCCGCCCTTCCTCCTGGCACTGCCGCTTCCACATCCACTTCTGGCACAGAGGCTTCACCCTCTAATCTTCTACGTGCCCCTTCTCCCTGCAGCAGTCTTTCCTCGAGGGCCTCCGAGGATTTAACGAAAGAGGATTGCTTGCTTCGTTTAAAGAAAGTAGCCCTCGATATGTTCCTAGTGGCCCATGACAGAGAAATCCCCAAACAACACGCAGTCTTTGCCACCTTTAAGGACCTCGCCGAGTTCAAGCAACTAGGTGGCGTGGATGATAAGGGCGTGTTGGCACCTGAGGGCAAAATCATCATCAAGACGGTAACCTCCTATCTAAGGGACCTTAAATTACACAGGTACGCCCAACATTTCGTGGAATGTACCAGACATTCTAAAACGTCCACGAAAGCCCAACTGGTCAAAATCTCCCCAACCAATATCCAGAA